AGGCGGCGGTAAAAAAAGAAGGAATTCTTACCATTTGCAACAGCATGGATGGAACTGGAGAGCAATATGCTAAGTGAAATAAGCCAGTCAGAGAAAGATAAACATCACATGATCTCACTCATTTGTGGAATATAATGAACAACATAAACTGATGAACAAAAATAGAACCAGAGTCATAGAAGCATCAAACAGATTGTCCAACCTATGAGGGAAGGTGGGGGGTGAGGGGGTAAGAGATCAACCAAAGGACTTATATGCATGCATATGAGCATAACCAATGGACACAGAGAGGGTGGAGGGGTGAGGGAATGTGCTGGGGAGTGGGGGGCAGCCGAGGAGAGGTCAATGGGAGAAAAAGGAGACTTATGTAATACTTTAAGCATAAAGAATTTAAGAAAAAAAAAAACCGAAAACACTCCGTCAAGAATGTGATATATTGCACGTGTGTGCAGGGCCCTTGAGGGAGTGTGGAGCTCCGAATTCCACAGGCGGGTTAAGCTGGAGGCAATCCAGCTACAAGCTCACAGCAGGGTGGGGGTAGAGGACGAGGGGCACAGGGACACAGGGCATAGGGACACGGGGACACAGAGACAGAGACATGGGGACACAGGGGTAGTTTCCACAAAGTGAGGGACAAGGAAACAAGCACATCTGAGTGTGAGGCAGGAGGTGCAGAATGGGTTAAAAGAGGAGCAGAAGACTGGACCCACTCCACATGCCTGGTGGGCTCAAAGGGACATGGACGGGCTGAGGGGCCTAAGCTGGTGCTACCCACCCCCAAAGTGGAGAGGACCGTCGTGCCCATCCTCCCCACTCCGCCATCCTCCTCTGTTCCCCTCTCATTCTCACCCTCAGTCCCCTTCTCCCCATCATTCCCGCCCTCAGTCCCCCTCTCCCCCTCATTCCCGCCCTCAGTCCCCCTCTTCACCCTCATTCCCGCTCATAGTCCTCCCCAGTCAGGACCCTGATCCGCCCTCCTCCGCTGGACTCCTTGTCCCTTCAGTGGCTGGAGCTCTGGTCCCAGAAGCCTGTACTCCCAGGGCAGAGGGGGCTGGTGGGGCGCTCACCTCGCTGGTGCAAGGCCTTGGCCTCATCCAAGGGGTAGTTGTGTCTGCACACCGTGTCCACATAGGCCCTCGTCTCCTCCAGGAAGTCCTTCTGGCTGTTCCAGGCCTCGGCGTCCAGCCGTCCCTGCGGGGTCACCGCGCGGAACTCCCCCACGTAGCTGTCAAAGCGCGCGAACTCCTCGCGGTTGTAGATGTAGCTGGTCACCAGCCGCACATGCTGCGTCCCGTTGGTGTAGTAGCAGAGGCCCTTAAACTGGAACAGGAAGTCCCCTGCCGGGAGCCGCCCTTCAGGCCTCTGTCCCTGGCAAGCTTGACCAGCGTGCCTGGAACCTTTGGCAGGGGACAGACCTGCAGCCCGCCCCCGCTCTGCTATGGCTTTTGGATCTGCCCGCGAGAAGGGAGGGGACAGAGGGGACAGAGTCTCCAGGACTCCCAGGAGCCTGGATCCCGCCTGAGCCTGACACTGGCTGGGCTGGCGGCATGTCAGGGATCTCACATCCAGGCCCCGCCTTAGAGCTGTCAGGACACCCTCCCCTGAGGTCCCATTTCCCACGGAATCGGGGAATCTCAGAGACCAGGGTCCCCAAGGCCAGAGAGTCCAGGGAGCAATGACAGAAAGCCCGGAACCCAGCGTCCTCGACCCACAGGCTTGCTCTCGCCCCTCCTCCTGGCACAGACTTTCCCCCCAGCAGAGCTGTCCCAGGGATCAACCCCTCCAACCCCAGAAAGGGAGGCTCCTCATGGAAAGGGCACAGGCTTCCGAGTTAGATCAGCTGGATCCCAGGGGGACTGTGCCAACCGCCAGCTCAGGCAGGTTGCCCAGAGCGCCCATAGCATAAAGGCAATTGTGTAGAAAGACCAGGACACCTACACCAGGGGTGGTGGGAAGACTGACAGAGTTTACATGGAGACAGAATCCTGTCTGAAATAAAGGGCTTCTCAGCATGTCGTCCCTTCTTCACTTTCCCTTTCTCCTCAGTTCCCTCCCCCATCAGCTCAAGACCAATCCCGCCCACTCACTGTGTGACAGTAAGTCCTGGGAGGAAGCTGAGCCCCTGCTTGTGACACCAGGTCAGCTGCCCGGATGCCAGGGTTTGCTGCCAGCCCTCCGCTCAGACTCAGGGATGGGGAGCCCTTTCCCCCAAATCTGACACCACAGACCTGCCCCACACGGTTCCCCAACCAGAGCCCCTTAGTCTGCAGTCCAGAGAAGGTCTTGGGGACAAGTCCTGCTGTCTCCTCTTTGGAGAAAATTTTTTCTTCAAAAATAACCATTTTCCTACATGATGGACAAAGGAAGAAGTAAGGGAGTGAGCCCGCTCCATCTGATGGCTGATGCAGCCACTTCTGAGAATAGAAACCTGTGAGAGCTGCCACACAGGGTCAGACTGGAGAGTCCCTATGAAAGCAGCCAATCAGCACTGGAGCTGACCCACCTCATCTGTCTCCGGGCAGATGCCTTCTATGGAGTTCCTTAGCCAGTGCCTGGAGCCCAGCCTTCATTGAATTGCACTGGATGAACACTTGAAGACTTTCTCTCATTTACAGAAGGTGAATACCTTAGGAATTAAAGAACCAAGAGAGAAAGGTGATTCAAGAGTGGACATCTTTGTGACATTTAGTTAAACCCTATTGTTCTTACACATGAGATTTTTAGGAGGGAAATAAGTGGGGATCAAGTATCAGGGAGAGAAAATCATTGTCAGGAGATGCTCCCTTCTACTAGCTAAAACACTCCAGGAGCCTGAAGCCATGGTGGGAAGAGCAGAGCCCTGAGAGGAATGGTTTTGAGCTGCAGCTCTACCTCGAATGCACTTTATGAGACAACAAGTTACTCAACCTCTTGTAGCCTCAGGTTTCTCTTTGGAAAATGTGGATCATGTTTCATGCATTTTACATCTGATCTTCATACACACACACTCAGAGCAATATGACTGCTCTAATATTACAATGTGTTCCCCTCCATTGCATGTGTAGCAGTTGGGAATATCACACACAAAATACATCCAACCCTGCTTGCCAGTGAGTTTTCCTTATGTGAGAATCTACTGCATTTGTGCTCTTTGAATGCAAGTCTTTGAAAGTTAAGTTGATTTTTTTTTCTTTTTTGTTTGTTTGTTTGATGCAGCCTATTGCAAGCTCTTAAAACTCTCCATGTGCCCTGACTGGTTTGGCTCTGTGAATGGAGTGTCGGAATGTGGACTGAAGGGTCCCAGGTTCTATTCTGGTCAAGGGCATGTACCTTGGTTGCAGGGGCATCCCCAGTAGCGGGTGTGCAGGAGGCAGCTGATCGATGTTTCTCTCGTCGATGTTTCTAGCTCTCTATCCCTCTCCCTTCCTTTCTGTAAAAAAATCAATAAAATATATTTTTTAAAAAACTCTCCATGTGAGGAATTTCTCAGCCTGCCATTGGGGCCCGCCACAAGAGCTGTGGTTTAATGGCCGTGGGAGTATCTGAAGGCTAAGGAAAGATGAGAATAAATAACCCTGCTCCTTCACTTCTCCAGCGGGATATTCTGAGGTGGGTTCTACACTGAAGTTCATTTTTTTCTTCTAAACTCTTCTGCTGCCTCAATCCTCTCTGGATCATGAAGCAGGTCCATCTGATGTCATAAAGGCACAACTACAAACATTCACATAAACAGGAAACAGCCAACTGTAGCTTCAGGTCAGAGAGCAAAGACGTGGAGAAGCGCCCTGGGGCCTGCACCATGTGACTGAGGGAATGGCTGTTCACACTCACATCTCATGCTGTGCGACCCCTGGCAGAACTATTGACGGGGTTTTTAATAAATGCATTATTCCTCAGCCTCCTCTCGCCCATGACCAGGGATAATGCTGAATGGTTATAGAGCAATTAAGACGATGCCTGGCAAACATTAATAAACAGATAAGTCTCTCTCTCTCTCTCTAGAGAGAAGTCTCTCTCTCTCTCTCTCTCTCTCTCTCTCTCTCTCTCTCTCTCTCTCTTTCCTATATTTTAGGTTCTCCTTTTAAATTGGAGGACAGGATCTAAAAGCAGAATATAAGGAGTTCACCAGGTAAAAGAAGCAGGGAGGAGGCAGTGACAAGAGGTGGCATTAGTGGCACGTGGAGGCTGTGAGCTGGTCCAGTTTTCTCTGTTGGGTGCATCTCTCTGGACCCCTGAGCCAGGGGATCAGCCCTGGGCTCCGAGCAGCAGTGGTGGGTCAGGGTCAGGTTCACTCCAGAGTCAGGGTAAAAGCATAAGGGAGGAACATCCAACTCAGACCTGGAATGGGGCTGGGGACAATGAACAATGAGAGGAAACTTGAAGGTGCCTCAGTGCCCTAAGCCCCCAACTCAGGGTCCCTCAGAATTAACAGAGGCCTCTGGCCCATCACTTCCCTCCTTTCAGAGTGGGGAATTCCATCAGTTCTGCTCTGGTCTGGGCACTTGGTGCTGCTCTGGGCTGTGTGGTTGGTTCTGTTTTGGGCTGTGGACTTGGTTCTGCTATGGGCCTGGCAGCAGAGGCTGCATCAGGCCTGGGGATTCCCGGGTCTCACAGGCCTCTTCACACAGACTCTCTACTAGCAAGAGGGTTGTCAGCTTAGACTCCTTTTCTGATTGGTTAAAATCTCATCTGAAAGGTCTTGTTTGGGCCCTGGCCAGTTTGGCTCACTGGACAGAGCTTTGCCCTGGGGACTGGAGGGTCCCGGGTTTGATTCCTGTCAAGGGCATGTACCTTAGTTGCAGGCACACCCCCAGTAGGAGGTGTGCAAGAGGCAGCTGATCGATGCTTCTCTCTCATGGATGTTTCTAACTCTCTATTCCTGTCCCTTCCTATCTGTAAAAAATCAATAAAATATATTTTTTAAAAAAATGAAAGTACTGGTTTGGGCTTCTGCCAGCTGCTTCCCTGACCCAGTCAGCATTCTCGAGTTTTCTAGATTTCTCTGCACTGTCCCCATCCTGGAGACAGTACTCAGGGCAGCTGCTGCTGGCCTGGCCTGGGAGGAAGGCAACATGCCAATTCAAAGCACTTCACCTGAACTACCTGGCTGGGCCCCTGTGGAGGCAGGGCCCTTAGAGTGAGGGAGTGTGCGCCACGGGGGGCGGGGGGTAGCGGTTGTCATGAAGAAGCAGCCATTAATATGAGTGCGGGTTATGGGAGGGAGACTCCCCAGCGATATCCTCTGTTCCCTGAGATGGAAGCTTAAGCTTGGGGACTCCCTCCTGGTGGAAATTCAGGGAGAACCCGCCTTCCCTGGAATTCTAGGACTCTGCGCTGGTCAGTGGAGTTACTGTGAACATAGCAACCATCTGTCACCAGTAGCACCATCCAGGACCCATTCTGCATTCACTGCAGGAACCAGAAACATTGTTGGTTTTAAAGGGTCTGTGGCCTCCTTAATGCAGCAGTCACATGGAAATCCTGTCCCCAGAGCATTATTTCCCTTTAAAAAAAATCACCAAGCATTCATCCCTAAATTTTTCTAAATCTTTACGGAGCTACTCACATATGTCCCCACATGAACCCTTAGGCAACCAGTTATATGCATTTCCCATGACACATATAAAGTAGGTCCTTTCTCCACACAACCCCTCTCTTTAAAATCACATTTTACAGGATCTGAAGAGTCAAATTAGTAGCAGAGTGACACGGATAAACATTTCACCACGAAAGACTCAGGTTTGCCTCAAAAAGACTCAGATTTCCCTCATCTGTAGGTGGAACACACCTCACAGGACAGTCATGAGCACAAAGGTAACCTGTAAGAGTCCCCACGATCCATGCTGAGCCACGTGCATGTGAGTTTGGATGTAATGTATGGGTTCATCTTTGTTGACATCACTCACCAAGGCAGCAAAGTCTTCTTGTTATTTCTCATCTCTGTTCACATGTTGGAATTTCTATGATTTTTAATCCCTACCTCTTACCCCATCATTACAGAGAGAAAAGGGGGAGGAGGGGAAGCACATTAGATGCATTTGACCATGAACCCCCTGCCTTTCCCTCTGAAGTGCCAGCACAGAACTGCCATTTAATCACAACTTCAGCTCTCAGAACCTAGTCCTGCTCTCAGTGAGCTCACAAATGTGGAAACCTGAGTGCAAAACACAGAGTCACACACAAATCCATGAGAGAAGAATAAGTGAGTGCAGCTTTGTGAGCTACATATCCTAGAAGGACAGAATTCACCCATCTTCACAGGATTTAGAGGAAGAGGGACTGGCCGCTCCTCACTGTAGCTGCTGCCACATGTCTAAGAGCCCTGTCCCGGCTGCAGGCTGAGTGCCCTGCACTCCCCACCCATGGTCAGGATCCCAGGCGACTCAGCTCTGACACCTCTATGCAGTCTTGTTTCCAGTAGTTCTGTCCCCCTTCTTGAAACCCAGCAGATCCCAGACGGTGGGTACTGTAC